CAGCAGCGCCTTTCCGCTCAGGCCACTTAGCAGCTCTCGTATCGCAGTTTGCTCTGGGAATTATGTCGTGCTCTGGGAATTATTGTTGTGGAGAGATGATGACGACAACGAGTTTCCACGTAAGCGTGCGGCGGGGCGTGCGCGCGTGCTGGATGCTCCTTGCATCATAGTGCAGCAGCTCCCTCGAACCTGGGCACCGGCGTTTCCCAGCTGTTTGGGATGAAGACCTGTCACATCGCGTCATGCTGGGTGGCCACCAGCTCCCCCGCACCCCACCAGCACCGAGCTCACTCTGAAACTCGACCAACTTTGAAGTCGTGCTCCTCCCTTTCTGGAAGAGGGGCTGGTGGTTTCTCTGCTGCCAGAAGAGAGATGGGATACTTGTAGCCTAAACAGGTTTTTTTATTCTCTCCTTTTGGCAGAATCTCCGCTTCTGTCTCCTAAATATAAAACATTAAATGTTTAGGGTATCCTTTATTTTTCTCCTGCTTTTAAGTTTGTAATTCAAGCCAGATTAGCGTGGTTTCCTCTTCTGTTTTATAGCCCCATCCTGGCCCCAAGCGAGCTCTTCTAATGCTCTCAGATGTTCCTCTAATGGCTTACCTAGGCTGGAACTGGATACCCTTTCCTAATGGATTGCTAATAGCCTGTTTCTGGTTTTACAGGCTCCTTCAGTTAACTCGCAACAGCAGCGATTGCCACGCTCACACATGCGATCTCCCCGCAAGCACATCTGCACGCTCACCCCTGGAAGCAGGCGGGTGGCCAGGCACCGTCCTGAGCATCTTTGTGGGGCCCAAGGGCAGGTCTTGCACCCAATTTTCTCCCACACTGTAGTGTTTTCTGGAGCAGGATCTCCCCTTTTCCCAGTTTTGGGGGGAAGATCTCATGCACTGAGCACTGACCAACTCAGTGCATGTCCCAGGAACATGGCAAGGCTCAAAAGGCATTTCTCTAGCAGAATCAGAGCTGGCGGCCAGGCCGAGGGAGGATTTCCTCTGGTGGGTTGCCAGCAATTTGCAGATGCTGTCGCAAAGTCTAATTGAACCCATTGGCCACGCTGACAACATGAAATGTTAACGAACCGTGAGGCGGGCTGTGCCTCAGATCTTGCGATTTGCAGTAAAAGGTCATGAGATATTTAAAGCTAATAATGTGGTTGGGTTCTCTCCTTCCTCTTCTGTTTTGGAAGCATTAGAGCCATGTCCGTGAGCATTTGCAAAGGCTGGAAACGTTCTTCTTTGGAAAAGCAAGCAAAGGTGCTCCCACCATCCCAGGATTTTAGGATCTGGGGCCACAGAGCCCCCAGTGCAGGCGTTGGTGCCGGCTCTGCTGCTGAGCTGGTCTGATCTGGGCAAATGATGGGGATTTGGGGACAAGAGTGGGCAATTCGTGGGTATCGGCAAATAGTTAGTGGTTGGGTTCGTTACTGTGAGGAGGGCGTGATCCTCTGTGCCAGCCACCATCACTCATGTGCCTGGGGTGGCTGCCAGGGTGGGCTCAGGCTCATCTCCCAAGGCAAAGCAACATTTTTCGGTCAAATAGGTGAATCCCACAGGCTATCTCTGGAAGTTCTTGCCTTGGGGCAGCCTGAAATAACCTGAAAGTGCCTGCTAATGCGTATCCTGCCTGCGACGGGCGAGGGGAGGGGATGGAGCGTGGGAAGTCAATTAGTGCCACCGCCTGATGCAGCTGCGTCCCCACCGGCGCGGCAGCAATGTCACTTTGCAGCGGGTGCGCTTCTTTGCGCCCATTCGCATCCCCCCGTGCCTCTGCTGCTTTTCCTGCGCTCCCCCTCTTTGCAAGGCAACCTTGGCAGGGAGGTCACCCTGAGCGAGCTGGGTTACAGCTTCACGCCTGGTAGCTTTTATTGCAGCACTTCTCTCCCTTCCCCTCCTGGCTGCAAAGTCAGTGATTAAAAAAGAAGAGGGAAAAAAAAAATTAATAGGTGGGAACAAAATGTTGAGGCTGTAATAATATC